CAAGGCCCGCTTTCTAATACTAAAGAGATAACGATAATAGAATAAGATAATCAACCCGAAGATAACCCCAATAGAAAAGCGCCCCCGCATAGTTCCGTTCCTCCATTCTAATTCCGACACGTAACCATAAACCCCGCAATTGCCAGTAACCGAGCTGTATCATGCTATTGTCCTAGAGCTACTTCCCTAAGTAGAATGGCCTGCAGCCATAAACCCCGCTTCTATTCCGTTCCGGGTGAGACACCCAATAGTAAGCGTGCCCTCACAATAGCCTAATACTAGTGTGGTTGCACCCGGTGCCCCCACACCCCTCGGTACCTTTCTATGCTGGTTCCCTCGTTACCCGACCGTACTCACATCACAACCCATCACTCGTATTATCCTTGTTCCTTGACTTAGGAGCAGTGTTCGTGTTTCCTGTAACATGCGAGTGGTATTTTAAATGCTAACCTTAATAGATACGAGATAAAAAGAGGGTAACTATTGAGGTGATACCGGAGGAGGGTTTTAGCGAAGACGATGAAGCGATGGCTGTGGATCTTGCCGCATTCTGAAATGCTCGGAGAATACCCACGAGTACTCCAGGAGGTCAGATTGGTTCCGACAGTGTCTAGGACGAAAGGATTAATGCCCAACTTCGCGGCATTGATACCGAAGAGGAGGGGGAGGAGGAAGAAGAGGAGCCTGAATTACCTGCAGCGGGGAATTATGAAAGGGGGGGGAGCAGGATGTGTAGAACAATCACGAGTACTAAGGAAGATAGTGGCGGATTTGTTCTTTTCAGTATATTGTATTAGAGTTAGTTAGGGTGTTTAATAATGCCAGGATGCATTGGGTGGACTAGTGTATGCTGGGGTGGACAACCGTATGGCAAGAACTCGTCAGGACCGCTTACTTTATCGCTGGAGAGGTAGTTTACCTACCGAGGACCTTGAGTACCCTGAGCGCCTCGGGTGTCTGGTGAAGGCTGCAGGTTTGCTGATGAGTAGAGTGGAAGGAAGAAGACGTTATGTAAAGAAGAAAAAAAAAAAAACTACAAAAGCGGAAGGCATGCCCACTATATAAACCCCAAGGAAATCCTGATGACTAATCCATATGACTCCAATTAAAGAATCCTAAGTAACGAAACAGAAACTCAATCTGAAATCCAACATTTCTTTAAGTACAATAACATAAAACTAGCCTTCCACTTACAATCAATCCTGACCGTAATCCAAACATAGTTAACAACACTTAAGCTGCACCGATCCTTCACTTAACAACGCGATTCCGGAGTTGTCTTGCTGGTAAGCGAGTTGGAGTGGTCAGGCTATGATAGTTAGACCTTAACCAAGACATATCTGATTCTACCATGCACCTAGCTCTGTCACTTCCATCAGCCACCGAGGATCCTCTGCAAAACACCTTGTCACTCGAGGTCACAGGAAATCACAAAGGTCTCTACCTAACCCAGCCAGTCACAAAGTATCACTCGTATCCATTGGGTCACAGTGTATCACTCGCCTTCGCCGATGGAAGTGCTGCTGGCGGAGATGTAATTACCTGCAATTAGTGCTGGCGGTGGAGGTGCTGCTAGCGCGCGATTTAGCTAGGGATCGCATTAGATCCTCCCCGACCTAGCCCGACCCGGGTCCTGATGCGGGTTGTTCTTCGAATTCAGGAATGCTTGGGCCGGGTCCGATGAAATATTGGACCCGGGTAATTTCCACCGGGTCCAAATGTCTTTTTGCGTCATGTTTGATTGGAATTGGGTGTTTGAGTGATGTCATATGATTCTGAACTGCCATTTTCTGAACAATTCCTACACATCTTTCTTCTTGGCACTATATCTTGTATACATTGGTCTGCTATTACCGACCCGGGTCCGGCCCGGGTAAAAGGCCTTGGGTCGGGTCCTCACTTTTGCTTTCGCGGGTGGGGCCAGGTCCTCCGGCGTTTCAGACCTGGTTGGACCCATTGCGGAGCCTGGATTCGGCCCCAGTGGAGGCGCTAGTAGAGGTGCTAGCGGAGGTGCTGGTGGAGGCATGTGTTTCACAGAACGGGAAAAGTCGATCAATTCGTAAGTAAATGTATTTTATTTGTGGTTTAAAGTGTGGTTTAAATAAATACCCGATTTTGTGTACGACCGGAGAACTGTGGGATAATCATAAATGTTAGTCATTAAACTCCTAACCCTTTCAACGAACCGTATTGCCTGAACTATCACACAATACTCATAATCAGGTCCTCAAGTGCAAAATCACCTTTTTGACTGAAGACCTTGTCGACGACTAATGAATCCATAAAACGTCCAACTCAGCGAGTTGACCCAAAACAGTGCAGATGGTGATCGTAACATTAAAATCTGCAACTCAGCTTCTTGACCGAACACTGTACAGACAGGGATCAAATAATGAAGATTTCCAACTGAGTATGTTGACCGAACACTGTACGGGCAGCGATGACAGTACCACAATTTTCAACCCAGCGTGTTGACCGAAGATTCTGCAAATGGCGATTATACTATCACAATTTCCTACTCTGCGTGTTGACTGAACAGTGTCCTGTCGTGTGTACAAACAATATAGTGGTTTTAGAGAACTCGCAGGAATCCCAGGGAGCATCACTGGTCGCTTTGGCTGCAAAGTATGATATGGAATTATGAGAACATCGAGTGGTTATGAAAATGAAAATATAATCCGCGTCAGGATAATGATAGTCTATGGAACACTGGAGACTGCTCTCAGGGCGGGTTTCAAATTAGTTGCCCGCTCATGCTGGAAGGTCACATGTCATTGGGCTAGCTGTGCGAGGCGACTCACGAGTGCTCTCAGTGTGAGGTTGGAGTCTCCAGGCGTTATCAGATATGATCTACCTGCAACTGACGCTCCTGGCTTTGCAGGCACGCAGAGAGAAAAAGGTGCGCCAGGCATAGGGCTGACGACAATCTGCCTGTAATTAATCTCGAGCTTGCTAATGAAAACTCCAGTTATCCATCTCCGGACACAGTAACAACATAAGAACTCTTGTCATATAATGCAAGAGGTAACTTGCATGTCATGAGAATTAAAGCCATTGTCATACAAACGAGTATAGGCAAAAGTGGGATTTCAATACTGCAATTACCATACCTTCGTGTAATAGTGTAAATCTCATAGCACAGGAAGGATATGCCGAGGATTCTATATCATCAGACATAGGCTGGAGTATCTTGATATTGCAATTCTGATATCTGGAAATCGGATTACACTCGGTGGCTCTACCAGACATGTTAATGTATCAATTTACACATTGCTCATACAAAACCGACGAGGAAAAGGCACAAATGAAGCATTAACTCGGGACGTTATTTGTAAATGCATCACCTGATGTATTATTTGATGCATTTACACATGGGATAATTTGGGAATTATTTTAAAACGATTAATGAATGACTTATGGGTCCTTATTTTTACACTTTTAGATCACATACGACTTTGGTATTCATTTTACACGATCAATCAATGACATTGTAATGTACTTTCCCCATAAACCCCCATCCATTAATTCTACAAACGATAAGATACCATCCACACCTATGGCGTGGTAGATAGGACATTGAGGAGTTTAGAGATTGGCTCTAGTTCAAATCCCCCAACGTTCACTTTTTGTTTTTATTACCGCTATGGGCAACCGGTAAACGCGTACTTTAATGCAGCAATTTAATGCATCAATTGATGCATTAAATGATGCATTAAATGATTCATTGTTTGATCCATTATTGATGCATTAAATGATTCATTGTTTGATCCATTATTGATGCATTAAATGATTCATTGTTTGATCCATTATTGGTGCATTTCCACGCATATTAAAAGTAACATATTTAAAGTACGACTTTTGGACGAGTTTACCCATACAAAAAAAAGATGCATTACCCCACCGAAAAAAGATGCATTAGAAAATGAATTTACATGGCTGGTAGAGTGGGGGCCTTTCTGGGCACGAGTGACATCTTAAGATTACCTCTCTAACCCTAACTAACTAATTAGCGGGCGTGAAAGAAAAATTGCAGTGTGATGGTGACTTGGCTAAGTGAGTAGATGGGAGCGATAGGTTTCCTACATCTGGGTGGAATACTACGATCTGCACAGTTGCAGGTCGTGGCGTTGCGGGCGACCTGTAAGGGCGGCAAAGCGGGCACCAAGGGATGCGGCCATGGCGGAGCCGGGGGTGAGGGACGACGTGCGGGCAGAATACCGGTCTCCTAGCTAGCTTTTATCTATACACCTACTAGTTGAACTAATATTATTAATAAATGATCATTAGGCAATATATGTGCATGTTACCTTATATCATTTGAATAAACCACATCTTTCGAAAAAGGTGTAGTCTGGATGAGCGACATGTCGCAAGAATATAGTAATTTCGTTTAAAGCATCGGGTTTGAATCGAACTACAATTTAAACCGCCACCCACTTGAACTAGCGGTTTTGATTGTTGCGTGGTTTGTTTAAACCACACCGATATGTACCACATGGACTTCCGGTGTGAACCAAGAAGCTGCCCAGATTTCCTGCATGGACTGAAGGTTTAATATCCGGTTTATTGAAGAAGAATCCAGTCCACCCATTAAACCTCCTGGATTAATCGATTCACCACGAAACGTCCTGGATAAATAATCTTTTCGGGTGAGTTAGTAGCTCTGATTGATGCGGTAGTGTTCTATCCTACCCATCACGAATTGGACCTGGTAAAGAATATGACCCGCACAATCACCGAGATCATAACGTTATACCACACTGCGATCTCGGGATTACAGGTCGCCATACTTTTCCTTTCTAATTGCTGAAGATCAATAATTATATTCATACTTAATCGCAAATATACATATCCCAATTCAGAGAATTTAAATAAGCTTTTATTTAATTCATTCGATAGTAACTCTCTCATATCCAACCTGATGTCAGTGTGGTGATATCATGATTCTCTCCTTCTTGTTCCTCCGCGCAAAGTCTTTCGTGGCATGTATGTTTCTATCATTAAGCGGAATCCGCATCGCCCATATGCCTTATATGGCCGGTTCATTGTCAGTTAAAATCATAGAGCCGCATATATAGGTTGACTTACATCAATATCTTTTCGACGATCTTGTATAAGGCTGTTTCTCCTCCCCTGACGTCATGTCCCCCGCTCAAGCCATTCGCGTTCGCTGGGGTCCACTCAACATCAAGACTTGGGTCGAGGAGCGTTTGTACACGCATAAACCTTTGGGGGTTGTTGGTTATCGGCTTAAGTGTCCTTTTAAAAACCTTATGGTTTTGAAGTGAAGCTCGTTGGGATTTTGATCTCGTAATATCTCTATGCCTGTCAAACTGTACGATGTAAAGCAGGAGTCCAGCCAGACCGGACGCTAGTGCTGTCGCAATTGAACTTCCTGATATCTTTTCTTTTGTGTTGCCCGAAAGCGGTGTAATATTAACGCCTGGGAGGCGAAAATCAATGTCTTCCTTCTGGCTTCCATACCCTCTGACAGCGACCCTCCCTCAGCAGCGGCGCCGATACAGAACGGCGGCGTATGAAAATTCGTTGGGTATCCATAGTCAGAGCCTTCACCATCATCCTTTGCCGCGCAGAACATCAGTATATTCCGCTTATGTGCTTGATCAATGGCATCCTCCATAGCCTTCAGATGTTGACTATTCTCGGATGTCCTTGCAATCGTCCAACTCATGGAGATAATATCAACCTTTTTTGTAACTGCCCATTTGATCGCCTAGAAGGTCTATCCATCAGTCTTTGTAGTAGGAACAACAGAATAAAAGTATATCTAACCTCGGCAGCTGAGCGTGCGGTGATCGTTAAGTTACCCCCGTCATTTCCAGGCAAAACGTTAAGTCGGGCTATATACAATTGTGCCTTGGGAAAGACCTGCTGTACCCTATGCGCCATCTCCGTACCATGCCCACCAGAAGATGGAAAGTGATGTGTTGATATGCCCTGGAATTCGCTAGAAAATTCCCTCCTCGTATGAAACGATACCCCTTCTACGATGCTTGAGTTCATAAATCTTGCTTCTTGTGCCTCGATACCATCATCAATGATTGCTATTTTGATGGTAGGGTTTCCAGCCTTCTGTTCAACATGTTCCGGAATGTTTTAAATAAACCCGGCAAACCTCTCGATGCATGTAAACCACGATCCACTTTAATTCATCGTTAGCAACAGACTGAAATGTAACAGATAACATTGGACTTCCTCACACATTGCCATTCTTGTGACCCACAGGCAACTGCTGCACTAACTTCCGACTACCTGTGCCCACAGATGTATGCAATATTGTTACATCTATCTCAATCTCGGAGCTCAAACCAATAGGTTTTTCTCGAGATAGCACATACTTTTTGTAATCAAAATTACAAACACCTGTCAAGGGTCTCTTTTTGTAATGTGAGGTGTTAGATACGATGAATTATGAGCGAGATAGCTGTCGACGGAATGAATTGTTAACTTACTAGTTTAATAATAATTTGAACCTTTTTGAGCTGCAAAAGAAATCTCAGCTATGTCTATTCTTTCAGGCGGGGAACAAGAAGGGGATAATACATGTCTGAGTTTCTTCAAGCCATCTTCACCTGTCCAACTTTGTAAAACCGCTTTGTTCCCAGTCGAATATAGGAATACCTCCTTTACGTTGGGTGATGCCTCGGCGATTGTGTCGCAGCATATGTCATACTGCTCCCAATCCCAGACATCCACGTGAGTTCCCTTCAACGCAGACAGAATTGTTTCGTCGCTATGTGGCAAGGCATCGTTGTCCTCGACCCTAAGTCTAAGGATTGTTCTCACGTTTTTCTCCCGAAGGAGCTCAAATATCCTGCTGTAATTGACATAGTCTTGCGGCTTATCCACGTTCTGTGCACTCAATAGTGGGTCCTTCGGGAGGCAAACATATCGTAGGATCGTCTCAAGGCTCATGTGTCTTATACATCCCTCCACGCTTTTGATGAAGTTGGGAGGTGGCTTTCTCGCGTTTCTTAGCTCGGAGAGATCGAGGTGGGAATAGAGGGCTAGGTGAAATAGGCAGATTAATAGCTGATCCGATAGATTCACGAGACTTTATACGCAGAGCTCCAGCATACCTTGTTTGCCATTGTATAGATGTTTTGCAGCCTCCAGGTGGTCGAGGAGACGTATGTATGCCTCTTTTAGGATATTCTGAACCTCTTTGCATGACTCATTTTGGCACCGACGTTCTTTTGAGTCGTGAATTAAGTTGCACTGTTCTTGATGATATAGGTAAGGTGACCATCGCTTCTCCTTTTGAAGGCCCTCTTCCCCGTTGAAAATCGTCAGAGCCTCTGGACATCTTCTTACCAACTCTGCGATGAGCTTTACCCTTTCCTGGGCTAATTCATCTTCTTTCCAATCAGCCACCTCGAGTGCTACATGGAGCGGTGTGTTTCCTCTAGCGCCTCCGATCCTCTGGGTCGAGCTGTTAATCAGATCCAGGTATGGAATTATCTCAACACCCATCTCCTTGATAGCCATGTGAGCCCTGGACGAGGATTCCTTCTTTGCTGCCGTTGCTATTTTTGAGATCCTTCGCCGCGGGGACCCTTGTGGGGATCCTTTGTGGGATTCTTTCCGCGATTCTTTCTGAGATCCTGAAACAGTTTTCTCTGGTTTGTTAAAGATAACACGACAACCTTGGTCAAGTGATGGATCTGACAGGAAATATTTCGTAAAGGCTCTCTTGGCACGGCTCATATAAGGATTCGTCGCGTTGTATCCTTCAATGACAATAGACAAAGCCTCTGGCTGCGCTGGGCTTGCTTGTATGAACAGCGGGGGGTATTCATTTAATAACCATCTGACAAACGCAATCCGACGGCTCAGGGCTACGTCAAAAAAATTGTCATCCTCGTCCTCTAGATCGATTGACTCCTTCAAAACTAACTGTAGGAGATTCTTGCCATCTCGCGTAACTTTCTGCCAATATGGGGAAATATATTCAAGCTTAAGTTTTTCCACTGTGGGGATTGTTCCTATCTGCTGTGTTATCAAAGCATATCCCATCGTCGACATGCTCCAAGACAGTCCTAAATTGTTTCTGAATTGTTTGTTTTGGCGTAGTGATCGTGGGATTTTGTTCCTCTTCCATTCGCGGTATATCGCATTTCTTGACACCGTCCTGACCGTCAGCTCCGTATCCCCTACTTTTGGTCTCTCCGAGGTACACTGTATGTTTTCGCGGGGATTCGAGATCTGTACTTCGACCACGTTCGGGCCTCATAGCTAGGCTGAAACTCATCTTGAGAAATGTTTATTTTTGATCCAGCGGTTGTAATAAAAGCGATTTAGGTATAATAGACGAAATAGTAGGTATGGGCAGAGTGTAGTAACAAGAGATCCATCTCTCTGTGGAGAAAATGGTTATAATTACTACTGCGGCCATAATAAGAGGTCTCTACCTACAGCTCATGCAGCACATGGTATTAAATTTCTTTAAACGGTTAAACTGGACACCCATTTAGTTCGCTCACTAGCCCTATATCGCGCGCATCAAGAGTACTATTATACTGCTCTGCTCTACCGCAGATATAGATATTCCGGTTATTATTTACTACCCTTGACGCAGCTAATATCCAGACTCCCCATCCCTGCTGCATGGGCTGGGACCAGGACCAGGACCAGGACCTCAGTCTCCACAGCTGTCCAGACTTCCGGGATCCCATCGCCATGACTCACAAGATCAAGCTCTAACCCGGATCTGATCTCAACACCATGTCTCCTCCAAACACTACTGCAGGGGCCGCAGCCACCACGATACATCTCCGACCTACCCATTGAAGCTCCAGCAGCGACTTCAAATACGCCCCGCCTCCTCACCGTCCCGCAATGGCTCCTACCGCGTTCGCAACACCACAATGCCGCGTCTTCCCTCGACACTACTACTGGGTACACTCTGCCTCCTCACAATCCTCCTCCTCCTCCTCCTCCTCGCGACTCCAGCATCTGCAAAACGCGTCCGCTGGCCCGCCCCCCCGTCCAGGAGCGTCGCCGAGAAGGAGCGCTTTGGAGACCTGACGCCCGCGCAGGCGTGTCTGCCCGACGCCTGCTGCTGCGAGTACTGTGTCCTCTCTCGTCTTGTGTAGCAATCCACTGACTGGTGGTGTGAAAGGCCTGGGTTCTGCAGTACTAGACCTTCCTACTTCCGGCCGAAGCGGTGCAAGAGGAATTGCGATGAGCTAAAGGGTGGGAAAGCCGAGTGGAAGTAAGACCTCCCATTCCTCTGTGTGCCCGTGAAGGGGTAGCAATGCTAACAGAGTGCAGGCGGAGGGTGGAGAAAGTGCGCAACGCAGAAATTGCGCGTGGACGTGATCAAGAGATCCTGAAGAAGGCGCCCAAGAACCCCCAGCCCTCCACTCCCCCCAAGCAGAAGAAGACCAATAACGAGCAGCAAAAATTAAACGCACCCTCACCCGGCGGCGACTCCAAAAAGAAGGCCAGCTCCGAGTCCCTCGGCCGCATCGTCTTCACAGGCCCCAGCAATGCTCTCTCAAACATGGACCTGATCAACGCCGGCTCGCACTGGCACTTCCTCACCTGCGAGACCCCCGGCACCTCTTCCAAGACGCGGCAGACCGTGCGTGTCATCTGTACAACTGCTGGCGAGGCCGACAGCAACTGCGATATCATCTACGAAGACGGGGTCGAGGGCACGGTGGTCAAGATCCCGAGGGGTTGCTTTGAGGGTGATTATGCGGTGCTGCATGGGATGGTTGAAGCAGAGGACCAGAGCGTGCCAGAGGGGATCAAGGGCGGAAAGGTCATGGAGATGACGTTTGATTACAATTTTGGGAGTGTCAAGGAGACGGAGGAGCCGGTGAGGTTTAGGATCGATTTTAGTAATGTGCCGGGGTACAACGATGCGATGGAGGGCTTTGGAGGGATCTAGGATCGGTGTAGGTAGTAGTGGTTATTGGGAACATAATCTGGAGGGGGCGGGCTTACCTGGACTGCTGTTGCTGACCTTTCCGGGCTCCGCAGTGTTGATAACAGTGGCAGACACTGTAAAGGGTATATGAGATCCTTCTGTGTATAAAATGATTATAGAGTATGAAGCCGAAACGAATAGTACGTGCTCACCGGTGCGGCCAAATCTCGAGAAACAGTTGGTAGATATGTCGATTTAACCTAGATCCCCTGACCATTACTTCATTCTGAGCATCCGGAGAAGTACACGGGGATCAACGGCCGATAAATCTTAGAATGACCCTAAATTTAATCCCTCATACCGGTGTCTTCCAACATCATTGACCCTACCAATCATTCCCTTCAAAATGTCAGTAAATCAGATAGCAAATAACGCAAAGAAGAACAAATAGCAAACAATCACTCCATGACCTAAACAATATCTCATTCTAGTTCTTATTGTATATACTCCGTATGTACCCGAGCTCATTTGTATTTTGTATACCTAATAGTAGACATTATTGCTGATTATTGCTGATCGATTAAGAGATATCGTCAGAATAATGAATTTCAAAACACAACTGCGGCGCTATTGTGTTTCTTGCGTCGTAAAAACGACTAATTATAGCTACATGTATTTATAGCTATTTTCCTTTACCTTATCTTATGCTTAGTAATTAATAGGGTCTTACCCCACTCACTACAAACCAAAACACCAAACAGCCAAATAAATCACCTATAAAGCAACTACTGGCTAACCAAATCAATCCATGTTTTTTGAGACATATGGGTTGTTGTAAATATTAGATTTCACAAAAATATTGAGTTCTACCTTTATTCCAGGTAGCAACTATAATCGAACTATACTACTATCAAGTATATATTAAATACCTACGATCACACTATGTAGCAATAATTGGATACAACCGATATCTTAAAGTTACCTATATACCTAAGTTAAACGTTAAAATTGCCCTAGTACAGAGCGGCAGTCAAACACTCCATGGATGGTTGAATCAGCTGTGGACACTAGAGCTTTTATTGTCAACTGTTGAAATACCCCATTCACTTACATATCAGAATAGAACAGGTCTACGGTTTGGTCAGAGTACATTTGTCAGCAGTTGATGAGATAGAAGAACGTATTAAAGACTGAAAAGCATGTGTAGTTGCCTTGGTTGTTGATGAGGCTTGGCGCACAGAGAATCACTCGGCCTTATTTTTAACTCCCTGTTGGAGCTATTGATTCATTAACCTTATGTAGGTCGAAGACTCAGATAGGCGCTACTAATTCTTCGTTAGCACCTGTGATGTCGAAATATGTAGGTAAACGAAATTCGCAAGACCTCTTTTATTTTCTGAATACCTATTGCATAGAACACGGGCACACACCTAACTCTTTGCATAGACATTACAGCCGGAAGCCATAAATATAATTTTTACTTATCTATTATATTAGGCTACATACATAAAGCTTTCACCCAAGTTTCCATTGCAGTCTTGACCTCTGTCCGGGTGTCAATCATCGAACCCAACTTGTGTACATCGTCTCGTTTGTCCCTTTTCGCTCACAACACAAGTCGGCGAATTAATTGCTCAATCTAGAAAAGAAAGATACAAGAAACTCAAAATGAATCTAACCCAAGAGATACGGAATCCAAGGCACGATTTCCTTCAAAGCCTCCATCTCAAACACAGTTCTGACACATGGTTCATGCCCGGGGTAAAAAAGGGCTTCGATCCGGCCCACTCAACCCGTTCAATATTCGCACGGTAAAAAGTACTCTTTCGTGGACATATTCTCTAGTGTGAATCACAAACAAAAGCTAAATAGTGGTGATTCCTCTAACCACGATATGACTGTAGAAATAGACCCCATACCCAACCCACCTAACATCAGACTATTCTCTACCTAACCTAACCCACTCATTCTCTACCCGAGTACACCAAAGCTACCGGCTACCGGTTTCTAGGCCTAAGAAACACACAATCAGGGTTCCTTTAATGTAATCTCTTTCATTGCCGGCGAGTCGCCCGGTAGTTTCAAGTCGGCAACCCAGGGTGAAAGCTCCTCGATTGATAGAAGCCCATCGTATAGAAACCAAGTCGTCATTTTGTGTTCTGTGGGATTATGACATCTCTCCCCTTTCTTGTAGCATTCCGGGCAGAGATCGTACTCACCCCTATCACAAAGGATACAATCTGAGAAGGTAGTCGGTTATTGTCATTAGACTTCAAAGATGGAAGAGGACATAATTACGGTGTATGAATCCGTCCCTGATTTTGCCACCGCAGGCGTTGCATCCTATGCCGCTGGTGTAAACAGAATCGATATCTTTATATGCTTTTTGGGGTTGGCAGGAGTCTGGCACGTCACGTTTAGAGAGCGGGTCTAATAGTTCACGTACGCCGGGATGGAAAGCGACATCGAGGGCAACGCGACCCCTCGAATCTGTCAAATCTTTATCAGTACCCGCGGCAAGCATCAATTCCACATATCTAAGGTTCCCGATGGACGCAAGCATAAAAAGGTACGGAGTGCCGTGTCCATTTATTGGGTTTAGACCTGTGGACTCGTTCTCGAGCCATATTTTGACGATATCTTCGCTACAATGCAGGACTAAATTTTCGATCGGTCGTGCCCAGTACTCTGTGTTCACTAACGACATCACCATCTTCTGTGCGAGAGATGTGTGTCCATGGTTTATGGCAAAATCCAGAGCAGTGGAATGAGGACCTAGGCCTTCTCCGTACGCGTCCCGGAACGGCCAAACCTCGTTCAGTAATGGCTCCACACAGTCCCAACTACCACTTCCGGCTGCGTAATGAAGGGGCGAGCGGCAAGCATTTTCCCAATTGTAAGCCGCCCCGTCTGAGCCATTCTGGAGCAGTAGCTTTACTGCATCCCCGTTTCCAATTGATGCTGCCCGCATAAGCGGAGTCTCCCCATTATTGTTGGTAGCCTCCAAATTCGCACCCATGTCGATCAACAACCTCATTGCTTCGGGATGTGCGCAGGCACAGTGTAAGGGTGTGTCACCGGACGAAGACCTCTGGTCGACCGCTGCCCCGCCCTTGCCTATTAGTGCAGTAATAGCATCAATGTGTCCTCCCTCAGCGGCAGCATGCAGAGCTGTTTGTTGAATATCGTCACCGTAAAGTTCCTCTGCATCGGCGCCATGTCGCAATAGGTGTTGCACAGTCTTCGCATGTCCCCCGCGAGCGGCGGAACACAAGGCTGCTAAGATACTAGAGTCCATATCTTCCGTGGACTGGTCGCTATCTCTTAGGCATTGGAGAAGGGCATCGAGACATTCAGTGTTTCCATAGCTAGCCGCATAGATGAGCGGGATACTACCGCAATCATCTTTTTCCAGTATTCTCGCACCGCCCTCGAGAAGCCTGATGATTACGGGAAGGTGATCTTTCAATGCTGCCCAATGCAGTGCTGTCATCCCTGTCTCATCCTTGCTGTTCACCAACTCCGGGTGCTTTTTTAGAAGAAGATCAACAACATCAGAGTGACCGGCGCGGGCAGCTTCGTGTAGCGGACCTCTTTGTTTTGGACCAGCGTCTGCGCCTGCCGCGGGTAATAGCAGTCTAATGATTGTCAAGTTGCCTTCAAATGCAGCAAGATGCATCGCGCTATTCCAAGGGTTCGCTGTTCCAACGGAGATATCGATTCCAGGATGATCGAGAAGTAGTTCGACTATAGTGCTCTGACCGGCTTTGGCAGCATGTTGTAATGGTGTGAGAGCATCATGTATAGAATTGACGTTTGTACCCTCCTCAAGGAAAAGCTTGACAAGTTCGAGATGACCTTTTCTAGCGGATATTGAGAGTAATCGGTCAAGATGTAGTTCTGGTGTTGGTAGTTTTCCCCGTTCCGCCTCCAATAGGACCTTGACAACTTCCTTGTACCCCATTCTAGTGGCTCCAACCAGTGAATCGGTCATTGATAATGGACTAGAAAGATGTGCCATGTCAGGCATCTCTACCCCATCGCCCTTCGCGCGGGCATTCAAAAGCTCCTCAACTACATCGGCATATCCATTCATAGAAGCTATTTTCAATGCCTTTTGGATATCGGAATCTCCGAAGTCAACCCTTTCCCGCAATTCTGCCACTAGATTTGGGAGGCCGAGTTCTGCAGCCACGATTAATGGGCTAAACTCACTCGCCTCGGTAGCATGTCCCACTAGGATTCGGTTGATGCGATACCAAACATAAGCCCGCTTCTTCTTCTCAAGAAAGTCGAGTATTGCGCTATAACTGGTCGGTGCGCGCTTGAGATCTGCACACCGCTGGTAATGCATTGGCCAGTACTGAGATGCATAAAGTAGAAGACCCATGGGTTCCGAGCTGAAAGGTATCATAGTTTGGAGCTCGATTCTGTCTTCGAAAGTCTGACTATCTGCGTCTTCCGATGACAGAGTATTATTCTTGGAGAGATATGCCAGACAAGTATCGAATATGAGTGCATGTGCTTGAATGATATCCAATTTATACCACCGCGAGATATACATATCTTCAGTCTTGACATCCATGATGAAGCGCTTGAAGGATGGATGAATGAAATAGATCTCATCTCTTTCAATCCTTATGAGAGGACCAAAAGTATCAATAAGATCATCGATCAAGCGCACCGATGCGAATTGCTCTTGGAACTTTCCATCCTTTATCGACAAAACAACTCGAAGCTCATCCACCTTCAAAGGGCGATACGAGGCCGTTATCCAAGTCAAAACCTTGTATGCCCAATACTGAGTATTTTCCGCCACGCATGCGAGAATATGATCATAAAGGCAGTGCAGATTCGATTTGAGGGATTGGGTCGTCGTCGATAGAGAGTTCAATGTGAGGCCAAATCGCGGTTGTGCCAATATCCCGAAATATAAACTGCTGGTGAGAAAGGTTCTTTGCTGAGCACAAAGTGCATCGAGTTCGCTTGAAAGATAATTATCAAGCCCTCTGAACAGCGGGGCCTTTCGGACTAGTTCGGTTAATTGGTATTGGAATACATTCTCGACGTCACGAGAGTTTTTCATTTTCCGGTCCATATCAATAACAAACAGCTTTCCCAAAGAGATAGAGGGTTTGAAGATATCCATGTAGCACTCGCTGCTAATCACCAGACTAAAAGGAAATCTAGTTTCCTGTTGTAGACCAGCTAAATGATCTAGAAGCCATCCAGCACCGGTAGCTTCAATATCATTTCCGAGCTCGTCGAGAGCATCAATAATGCATACAAGCTTTTTTTTTCGAGGATGCGAGAGTAAAGTCCGGAAAACCGTCCATATGCCCTCTTTCGAGAAAGAACTTTCCAACAGTAATTCGCAAGCCTCTGCAATGTGGGTGTAAAGCGAGGGCTCGAGATATAGGAGATGTCGTATTATCGAGAGAAGGACGTTCTTGGCAAGGTCGCGGCGGTCGTCGTTAAACGTGCAAAAAAACGGCAGTACAATAGCTCCTTCTCTCTTATACAATTCTGTTGAGAGATACGTGCAAACTGTTGTCTTCCCTTGACCAGCAGGACCGCGTAAATGTAGAATTCCATTACCGCCAGAATTCCACCAATCCTTCCACCTCTCATCATTGAATATCCAGTTACACGTACCGGCATGAGGTGGCGTACTTGGTGGGATTGATTCGCAGCATACGGCGCTAAGCTTTAATCTAAAGCGGTGCAGACCTGGATCAGGAACTACTGTACAGTTAGTAGACAGCTACTACTGTAGGTGTTCAAAAGATTGTAATACCTTCCTGTGAGTCGATCATCTTCTCGAGTTCTCTCGATAAACGAACAAAGTCTTCATCTTCCACTCCGCAAAACATGGTGAGATCAATGTATCTTTGATTACGACCCCAGTGTTCATCTATGGAACTTCCGTAGGGCTCGAATGTTTGACCAGTACACTGCGAGGCATAAGAAAGATTTCAAAGAAGAGTCTAGACTGGTCTATGCGTGGGGACTGACCTGCAAAGCTAGTGATTGAGTAGTATTTCGCGAAAAGATATTGATACTCTTGAATCTTTCGGAGAAGGGTTGGAACCTTTCACAAACTTCCAAGAAGTGCCTACTATTCCCTTGGGATACTCTTTGCCTGATTAAGGTGAATAGTTCTGGATTCATGCCATCAGCCTCACGATAAGAAGCGAGCATCTCAAAACTAGCTCTTTCCCACCATGACATGCCAGCTGCATCTTCAAGGCAAAAACGGGCAGGATGAGGGGTGCCAAAGAGTACCTATACTCTGTTAGCGGACTGAGGTTTGGAATCAGATAAATCAGGTATCGGCTCTAATACCAGTCCCAGCGTATGAGCAGCAAGGAACATATATGCGTGCTGATAACTTGCGATGCATAAGGCCTTGATCGGCTAGTTAGCGATATGAGTTAGAGAGGACGTGTTATTTTTTTGTCTACCTTTTTTACAACGATACCCCCAAAGCCTTGGGCCATGAAAATGTAGGAAAGGTCAAACTGCTGGTGTCAGAAACCCAATCAAAAAGAATGGAAAGGACGTATCCAGCCATACCTCTTCGTTTTGTCTTCGATCGATCAGTAGAGATTGTAGGAGTCTAACCGCTAAAATCCACACTCCGCGTGGTGAAGAGAGTTCCCAATCTACCGCAGCTGTAGCCAAGTCGTACTCAAACATCATGAAACGCGAACGGGGAATCCTTTGAGCCATATCCTTCAACCATAATTCTCCTGAAGGCTTTGTCCAGGTAACATCGTTACTGCCATTCACCCCATGAATGACGACGATACTACAAAAAGGTCAGTGAGGCCTATCGGCTATCAACCTATAGGTAAACATATTACTTACTTCGTAGAAGAATTATCTGCGAGGCCGGTGCTGGATGGCTGACCATCACCCAACGGTGAAAGTTTGAAAGATTGGTTGTAACTATTCATGCTTGAAGGATAAACAAACGTAGGAGGCATGGAGGACTTTGGCTCATTGTTCAGGGAAGTCATAGGGGTCTTGGAGCAGCTCTCCGCCATAACCCCACTCTCGGTTTTCTATGCTGAGACCCCTGCATGGAAGAAATCAACTTAAAGGCCCGCATGTTCATTAGGTCATTGGATATCTGCAAGAATGTTTCTAGAGAGGACATTGATAAGATTGTGTTTCACAACGAGTGAGCTTTTATTGCGCAATTGAGATAAACATGCATATAAGAATCTGACCACGAAGTGCGAATACATAGCAGCACTTAGGGCCTGTTCGGCAAATATGCTGTTTGGGAATGGTATTGCAACATGGCAAGACTGCAGCCGAATATGCTATAATTAAAATCTACAATATTGTGTCATGTTTGGCAAACCAAGAGGCCGGGGTCATGGGACACTTTTTGCGTTGGGTACAATGGTTGCAACAGAGGTATCGTTATCTACCGAAAGTGTAGTTATCGTGATAAAGGGTTGCAACCAAACACTCCCTAATTATATAAGTAATCATCAAACAGCCATAATCGATCACCAAATCTAGCTCTAGCTCTAAACCCATGATTGATTGATTGATAATTCATTAATTGTATGTGGCCCGGAGGCTATGACAATATCTGACATACCAAAGTAAGATGAAAATGAAGATGGTAGAAATAGAAATTAGCTCCGAACCCAGCCAATCCAGTGGACCCGCCAACGGACGGTTAGGGGTGTGAGCAGGTAGGCAGATGGGCAGTCAGGAAGGTGAGTAGTTTAATAGATTACCAGGTGTCTAATAACTAAGGGGAATTTAAGTGTCGATGTATATATATATGTGTGATTTATTCGTGGGAGATTTCCTCTGTCAGCTCAGAGTAAAAAACTGGCTTAACCGGACATCAGGCTTTTCCAATGAATAAACCAAGGAACTGAAAACGTAATGACCAATATCTGACTAATGTAAGCGCCTACAAATAATTTTATAAAACTTCCAAAACTACACTAAATGTAGTTGACGGGTTTGATTGATATTGACATTTTTTGAGGTTTTGGCGCCATCTACTACGGGTTTTAATACATCAGGGAAATGTGTACCGAGCCCACCGAAAGAGTAGTTAATGTGTATCGAAATGTGTACCTATTACAGCATCTTGGTACATATTTCTGTTCTCTGTTTTTGGTAGCGTAAAGAAGGAAAATATGTTCTGGGTTTTCGTTTGTTATTAGATTGCGTTTGGGTTAGTAATTGGGTTTCTACAGCTTTCTGTTGTACGGATTTCAGGGGTCATCCCATATGAGGATCGATATGGTTATATAAAGGATTATCATTTTCTTTTCTGTCATTTCCTTTCTTTCTTCTTTACGCATTCCTCTTATCATCAACCCTCGTATTAGCTTGAGTTCTCTGTTACTTCTTGTCTGTTACTCCGAATATATTGTCTTCGCATAAATGGTAGTATCTCGGGATCAAACCCAACTCTCACATCCTAATCTTTGTCCTCGTTCTGAATCTGAACCCCTATTACATAGCATATCTGTAACGGGGGTCTCTTCTAAGAGAAATAGAATAGGATAGAATAGAGACAGCTGTGCAAGATAGACAATCAGGTTGCAAATTATTCAAAGATACTGTCACCAGAACTCAATAATCTTCAAGGTCTCTGCTACCGATAAGAACTACGCTTTTTCTTTCTGATGAAGACCGGAGAGAATTAGACTATCGGGTGAGAATGGGCTTGAGTACTTATACTCCGAAGTCCTATATTCTCTGCTCCTAACTCCTTACTAAGTTCTGATGATGCCTTCCATTGGTAAGGGAAACAATACCACCATTACCCTGCTTTTCTCTAAGCGCCAGCAGGTGTTTCCGATAACCAAGGCAACCACTCTTAGTCAAAGCCATTGTAACACCTGCAGCCTTGGTTGCCAAACAACCAAGGCCTGCATGAATGAGCTACCACTCATGTGTAAGCTTAATCATTGCTGTAGAACTTCTGCTTATTGTAGACTTCCCAAGCATAGTTACTGCCACTACTGGCGGATCTGCAATGCTCTGAGGATACAAAGGATGACCGGACAAATCAGAGCCTCACTTTGGCTGGCCTTCTAGTCATTAGCGAGGTATAAACTCATCAGTCATTGCTCTTATGAATAGATCCTCTTACTAGTGCCCAGAATGTAGTTACTCTAACAGCTGCTAGCTAACCATACTGCTGGCACTTGCATATCACTGTGCAACTGGCTTCTAACAATAACTTTCAGCATGTAACTGGGCCCTGTGTGTACTCATACACCAGATAGTTGAAATGGCTCTGTTATAATATTATAATAAGGGGAATCCTACTCCCGTCTTCGCTACAGTCCCAGTTCCAGTCCTCGTTCTTGTTCCCATAACTTCCGACTTCGGTTGTGCTCCTTGGTTGCCTGACTCCGCTCCAATTACATAATGCTTTACTTAATCTAACTTCGTACCCCTGCTCTTCGTTAAATCCGGTTATCCCCGTAACAGTACCCCCTAAAATATAAATATTGGAAGGGAAATTGATATCCCAAATATATCATTTAATGTATTCTTTAATGCATCACCTAATGATAAATGAATTACCGAATGCATCGGTAAACGAATCCTCGAATGAGTCCCTAAATGAATCTTCGAATGCATCAGTAAATAAATCAATGAATGCGTCAGTTAATGCATCCCTAAATGAACAATTTTATCTTTAATAGTAAAAAAATCCAAAAAAACAAAAAGAACTGCGCAGAATTGAACATCTGATACTAGGATAACTTAGTATTCTTATAACCACTAAACTATTGTTGATGAATTTTTCTAGCACAGATTGCTACTTGAAATTATGATTTTTAATGAAAACCCGAATATAATATGTACCATAATGTGTACCATAATATGTACTATAAATGTATATTGTAAATGTGTAGTGAAATGTGTATCATATTGTGTAGGATAAAGTGTAGTGTTTTTTTTTTTTTTTATTTAATTCAGTAATTGCATGCAAACCGTAGTTTATGGCAATATCACACTACCCCAGAACTAGCCATCTACCTCTACCGCCATTTACAAAAGGAAATATTAAATAAAGAAAGCAACTATTTAAAAATAAATTCATCTCGTCTCTCTTTTCCCTCTTTGCCCCTCGGATCAAGTATATCATTTCCCTCATAGCTACTGCGAATTGCATAATAGTATTCTTCATATCTTAATATTGTGACCTAGTGTTCGACACATGAGTATTTTAACATCTTTTTAATATATATATTAATCAAAAATAAGAATATAAAAATACCAGTTATCAATATTTTATATTATAGTCGTAACCTTGTAATTCTAACTTATTATTAACCAACTTGAACTAAAGAATTTGATTCATAACCGTTGAGTTTTGTCAATAGTTAATTGCTGTTAAAATACCCAATGTCGAACACTAATATTGGCTTCCCCATCCTTATTTTATAATCGTATCTCCCTGCCACTTCATATAACGGAGCAAGTTGAGTGGCTTTGTCATGTGCCGCTACAATCAATACCGCTATTTCTTCGCTATCTTTGTATCATGCCCATCTTTGAAGGGTGTATACCTTTCGCTTGTTCTGTTCCATTCTTTAACGTTTTTTTCATGGATCGATTAGGGAATGTACTGGGTTACGAGGAGTTGGATTAGTCAGAAAGGTTCTATTGGGTTCTACCGGGTTCTGTTGATCGTTAATGTATAAGTCACTTGGGATTTATCATCGCTGGGATTTCTTTGGGTATATTAGGGGGGTTCGTTCTTATTTCTCGTTCCTTTTCTCTTTCTTTCTTTCCTTACGCAACGTCTTCTGTATCTACGCTGTTTATTACTCTACAAATATCATCCTCCTCTTCTTTACTCGAGAGGACCACCGCTTCGCCGTCTCTTGTCCCGTTGACCCTTACCGACGCTAGAGTCCCTTAGGACCCCTATTGCGAGTTCCCACACCGACCCCTACTACGCCTTTCGTACCCTGCGGAACATTCGCTACTCGCCCCCTTGAGAGTTTTCCTGCATCACAAGTACCCGAGAATGCCTCTGTCCCAATATTTGTAATATCTTCGCTCTTGGAACTGGGAGTGGTTGGGTCGGTTTATTCAACAGGGGAGCGTGGTCTGGTCGGAATATATTGGGAGGTGAAAATGTAGATGCAGCTGAGTTAAGCTTCATCAGCAAGATTGTACATTTTAAGCAGCCTCCCAACAGTCTCCTGAGTCTCCTGAGATTCTCCTGAGACAACAAAACGGTTTTTGATTCTCTGGAGGCTCAGGAGATGCTTTTCGGAACTTGTTCAGTTTCCTGAAGTTTGTTTTTAATTTAGGTTAGTTTGCTGATAGTGATTGTATCATCTCGGGCGGTGCTGGTGTTGGTTCTGTTGAAAGAGGTATGACTAGAGTAAGGGTTTCTTCGGGACAAACAGTTTGGTGACTATCTATGCTGTAGTCGCTTCTGTCATCTTCAGTTTCAGAGGATGAGGAGTAGGAAAATCCATATTCATTATCAGTTTATTGTATTGATCTTGTCCCATCTGGTATCCTCAGGGGAGGATACTGTTGTAATCTTGATACGATGTAATGAACCTGCCGTATAAGTTCATGATTCTTCTTCGTTAGGCTGCTAATATTCCTTCGTAGCCTAATAAATTCCTTAGACTACTGTAGAAGCAGATCTGCCCTGCCAGCCATAAGTTTCTGGATACTCATAGCTTTTTTCTCTCTCCAATTGGGTGATATTTGTGCTCACTGTTGTTGGTATCTCATGGTTGAAACCAAAGAGATAAAGAAATAGTAGTATCTGATTGGAGGAAAACGAAAAGAGGGGTATTCTCGCGGTGTTGTGAGAAATACGTAGCGATCACTGATTGGTCGCTTCATCCTGCACGTTGGTTGTCAAGGGAAGAGTTTCCTGATAAAGTGTAGTGTAATGTGTATCTGGTAAATGTGTATTGGAATGTGTAGTGAAATTTCGTAAATGTAGTAGATGTGTAAGGAAAGGCATCTCATGATGCATTTACAAAGGCCTCGACAGGTAATGCATCATTTGATGCAATACCACAAAATATTTGTATGGGCAACGCATCAAATGATGCATTTCCAGCCGTAGTAGAGGCCGTATACTTTTAAATTTCTCTAAACCAACGCCCCGTCCGAGCCCTCTATTCTAGGCTTACGATGTTTGATAAGACCTGTCATAAGGGTGGTATATTGACACTCAGAATTGACATACATGAACAAGCACGTGTATACGAGCACTTCAGGGTTGAAAAATGACAATCTTAGTTTCGTGTCTGGTGCGTGCCTGGTGCATCGATACATGTACTTAAATGAAAGCCACCGGAAAATATACAGTTAAATCATTCTATAAGGGACACCTTATAAGGATAACCGCCCAATATCTCTACCTATGCGTTCTAAGTCCTCATGCTGGCCATCGAAGGTACAAGTTCATACTTTAAGTTTTTATTTACAACCCAGATGTGCATGAATCTCTAAAAGACACATAACCGGCGTGGGGGTTACACGACTATATTGTAATCATTTCTACCTAATAATATCAAACTCAGGTTGCAAGTGTACATATATATTCATTCCTCTTTGATCATTTACTGCAACCTACCCACCCCCCCAGATATCGCATCCATTCCCACCCTAAACATTTTAATTAATTTGTCATTCTGATAATTAAGGCTATTATAATTGAGGTGTCTACCTAAACCGCATGCGCCTGGCGCGTAACTTCGATTCCTGCAAGGTCTTCCAAAGGATAGAGTGATAAGCAATCAGTGTCGATACCCTCCGGAATATTGCCAGGGTGATGGTGGTTCGGGTCGAATAGTATTGGATGAATCTTGTTCGAACTACTGAGGTTATGCATACGGCATTCGAGATTATATAATATGTCCACCTGAGCATTAACCTTTATGTCGGCAAAAAAAGGCCCATCATGTTGACGTTTAAGCAGGATTGCAAGACGTAATGCAGTCGGGATTCCATTTTTCTGAGCCTCGTTTTGGCTCATTGACCATTTAGCAGCGTTCTTTGGTCCGTAGTTTCGGCCTTCCGTCTTCGAGACCCCGTAAAAGGAGCCGCTGTCTTGTCGCTCGATACTCTTGGTGATCTCATATGTCGTTTGTCCACCAGCAGTACCCCCGATGGCATTGACACCAGCATTCAAACCGACGCCTATTTTAGACTCCTCCTGACTAGAGCTTGGATTGAGGCAATATTGACCGGAGGGAGCAATCTTATCGACCGAGAACTTAAGTGAACCCTCTTCATCTCGGAATTTAAAAGAAATGTTCGCGGAACAAAATTTTCGTGAAGGCTTGGACCCCATAAACTGGAACCGCGCAATAATCAATGTGGCTTTGGGGCCGTTCGACAAATAGTTGCCATGGATAACTGTCTCAAGGCTGCCTTGTATGGAGAGATCGGATCTGACTGACGTGTGGCGGTCGACGATTATTGAACGTTGAATTTCGCCCGGGGCATTTTGGTAGCGGAAGACAGAGTTTGTGTCTCCAACTGGCTCGAGATCAACGTCAAAACGAGGGAGATCAGATTCATCCATGGAAACGACTCAGATCAAAATTTCTTTAATGTTTGGGGAAGTAATGGTGGACAATGGGTAGGTCTTGTACAATTGTACAAATACACTTGTACTACCGCAGAATCTCAGGAATGACGAAACGAACTGGGCTGGAATACCACTTACCCATTGGTCAAGACGGCCAAAACCTACGCTTTGGAAAACCTACGCTTTGGGTCTGTCGGATTGAGGCTCAACAAGCATTTGACCAATCCGAAGCCCAATATTCCAGTCCAGTTCGTTTCGTTATTCCTGACATTTTGCGGTACATAAAGGTTGATTTTGCATCGCAGGTTCACAACCCAACTCACTCAGAGTGTGGATAAAATTTAAAAATAGACGGAACGTAGATCTTTACCCCTTTACGTCAGTTTGAAAGTACGATATAGTTCCGGGGGAATGGTTGGCCAACCGGCCCGGGGCCGGTTTAGAGTGAGAATCTCAATACACCTACTCTATTCAACCGGATCTTTCCCCACCCAATCCCTCTATGCGCCCTGCGCATGCACGTACCCATCATATCATACTGAATATGATCCTCGTGGGCGCTGCAATATGATGAGCTTTTAATATCGTAACAGGTATATTCAATATATTGTGAAATGGCTAGGCATCGTAATGACTCCTAGCCAAAAATAAAGTCTGTTGACAAGTTAGGCTACCTATGTAACGCAATCTCCAGAGTAGGTACAACAGACTTGGAGAGGTCTAATATTCTGAACGTTCATGATCGTTTTATCGGGTCATATTGACCTCAGATGATATTGTAGAAGATGTTTTGCATCAGAGAGTTTTAGCTCCGCTAGTTGAAAGTCGGACAGGTTAGACAAAAATTCTAACCGTTTTAGGCAAAGAATTCAGCCAACATATAAGAGATGCGGAGCTTTCTGTTCAACTCGCGTAGCTAGAACTTTCTATTCTCAGAGAACATATGAGCTCCTGCATACTGCGGGTCGAAGAGATTGGTAAATTATAGAGACAGAATCGATGTGTGGCGTTACTCTACATACTACCGCCGAAAATTTGGCTCTCTCTCGTGAGATTAAAGTTACTCTTATGGGAAACTTCTGATGCAGCTCGATGCCATTCAACCAGTCATGCGAGATAAGGCTTGGACGAAGATAGTCAATCTTTCGAGTTTTTGGAGGTAACGCACTCACTCACTTCTCCATATCGACTATGTGCGTAGAATGTCGAGTGACTGGCTGTGATTAGTTCCCCACACCGCCATTATCGATATCAAATACAATCTCACGAAACTGTGATCATCCTCATATTCTTTGCAATGGTTGATAAAGGAACAGGCCCAGGATGAGTTTGCTCTCCTCGCGCAGGTTGCGGCCGCAAACTTGAATTATTCAGTGAATAAACATTGTAGAATATTATTGTCGAAGAAGCCACCGAAACATACTCTGCTATTCGTAGTACCTTCCCTGTTTCAATAAAATGTAGGCCATAAGTGGAAATCAATCCTGATAATGCGCAGCACACATACATACCTACCATTATCTGAAATTATAATCATTACAACGTTAGCCGGGCGCGTGATTCAAGATACGTAGTTACCCCGCTAAGCCCGCGACCATTACTGCACTCACTATTATTGGCCCAAACTGTTCGCTGCAAACTGCGCAGCTAATTGGCAGGCCTTTGGTAGAGTAGAGAGGGCGTCGACCCCTGTCCACTCCGCCTGGAAGATGCGCCATTTATCCACCCTCCACACGGATATACACGAAATGGTAAAAGCACTAAAGGCATTCAATAAAAAGTCACGACCTTCTAAGGAAATGATGCAAGCTCATGCGGACCCAGTTCAGTTACGTATTGATTCATTTGCAACAGCCCTCGATACGAAATTCATTAATCAGCGCCTTTTCCACGCCCGGTTATGTGGGTAACGTGCATATTAATGCATTTATGTACTCCCATAGTAGAGAATCCGGAGTTGGCAATTGGAGTATTTGAAATAAAAACGATTCCACCACATTGCTTAACAAATATCTTTTATTCCAGCTGATACCTACTTGCTTATACTCTAAGTACACTATAACAAAGCAGTCTCAGTCCTTGATATCGTGGCCAACTGATAGTCGAGATTTAACTCTGAAAATGGTTTCCGTTACGACAACCCTCACTATATCCCCACCGAAAAGGCCAGAACGCGAGAATGAAGGCCATGTACCTTCGGATGAGAGAATCAACCAGCCGAACACGCCAACAACAAGGTCAAAGCCTGCGCAATCGAAGCCGGTGAAGGTGGCGAAAACATTTCAAAGGCTTCTAGAGGATGTTGACAACGGTAATGTCCAGTTTCCAGACGATCTAGAAGCCGCGCGCTTTCCTCCTCAGATCAAAGAGCCTGAATTGAGCATGTACTCCATGTCGTGGCAAGCAAAATCTCGCGATGGCAATAATCTTTTGCACTATGCAGTTAGAGAGGAAATTGAAACTGAAGAGCAGGGGGAAGCTGTATATCGAGCGGTAAACTATCGTATCAGCTTTGTCAAATGGCTATTAAAGAGCGACCCCCATATGTTCATGGATAAAAACGACAATGAAGAGCAGCCACTATCTTATGTCCTTGGGAAATACCCTGTGGGTAAAGATGTAACTGCGAGGCCTACGACTCCTACGGACCCGGATCTTCAAAGAGCACTCACCCATTACTTTCTATCAGAAAAAACTCTTAAAGATAACTGTATCGAGATCCTGAACGCCAAAGACAAGCGAGAGTTCCGTTGCACACTACACGCGATGATAAAGAAAATGGGTGTCGAGATAACTCCTTACCTTGAGCTTGGGCTGTTCAATGCGGAATCACTTAAATCTAAGGACAAAGATGATAATACGCCGCTTCATATCGCGCTCGAGGTGCAGCACTGGAAATCTTGGGAGAAGGCCGAAGATAGGGCGAACTTGATCGCTTTACTGATCAAGCTGGAGGATGCAGCATTAACTCACAAGAATGGAACAATAAGGGTTAAGGACAATTTGCGAATGGCACCCTATGCTTACCACATGGCGAAGTGTGTGGAATTCCATACCAGAGAAGATGGGAAAGGATGTACCGGCCAGGCCTGCAAAGATGTCGAGTTCATCTTGAAAGATGCACTCATAAACCTACCAGAAAAACGGGACGGGATGAAGCATATTGTTCGCAAGGCCGGCACTCAAGGTACGTTGAAAAATAAATTACTTTACATAAGACTATGCCTCTCAAGCACTTGATAATCTTACTGGGATTAGCTCCTTATTATTATTTCGATCTTCAAGAGCTAAGCTGCGCGAAGCTGTCACCGACCGACTTTCTGAACAATATTGAGGCTTGTATCGGAAACCTTTGCCTTGATGCGATTCTGAAGCATGTTTATCTCCCCAAACCATCCAGTCTGAGTCCAACGTGTGCGGATCACCCGGGAAACTACGTCGACTACACTGATGTGTTTGAGTTGCTCCGGAAAAATAACGTAAGGCGTATAATTAATCTCATTGTTGAGGATGAGGAGGATTTACCACATAGTGATGAGACTATCGAGTTGGCTTTGAAGGGCATTCAAGTGCGTACCTGGAATTGGATGCAATATGACCTATGCTGCGAAACAATTGCCAATGCAGCGCCTGATGTGGAAGAGCTTTTCCTGTATTCCACTGGGAAGAGGGCTGTTCTCCAGAATTGGACAAGTGGCGAGGGGTTAAAAAGGCTTCCTAAGGTGCATATACCAATGATACCCCAGCTGCGGTGAAAATAGCTAACACCTTCACTATAATAAGCTTAAAAAGGTGACTTTCAAAATCGACCTGGTAAGCAGGAAGCAACCCGTTTTACCCTATGCAACTAGTACTCCGAACCCCTTATTGACACATCATGAGCCATAGAAACCCAAGAGAGGTGAAGATAAATTCAACTACGAAGAATATTTGAAGTCGAGGATAAGGAAACTAGGCTTGGAGCTGCTCAAGGAGCAAAATATCGTTGTAATTGTAAAAAAGGCCTCCTCCTCATCTACAGATACCACAGCAGATGGGGCAGTAGGATATCCAAATCCCGAGGCAAGCGATGGAAATCAGCCGTAAGTGTATCCGCGACCCATGCATGGTCCTCCCTCTACTGATACACTGACGCCGTCAACACAAGAGATGCCTGGCTAGCATGCATGGATGAATTTTCGGCCTATATACAGGGAATACCCGACTCAATCTTAGATAGAGCTAGAGAACCGGTCGTCAAGATCGCCATAATCGATGATGGTTTAGACGTACACCATTCGAAGCTATGGGGCGTAAAGATTACGGGTGGAACTTCATTCCATACGAGAGGTGGTCTCCTCGGTTCCCCGTCGACTCATCATTTTCCTTCGACCAGTGGTCACGGAACAGAGATGACCATGAGGGTCCGCCAGATCTTTCCCATGGCCACATTATACATCGTTCGACTTGACGTGATACGCGGAGATGGCGGTCATGCAACCATTGCCGCGGGCTCTGCTGCTAAGGTTGGTCACAATTGCTTTGCCCCGCCGCCCCCCCCCCCCAAAGTCAAATTATTGAAGATATTCTAAACCATAATCAAGGCGATCATGTGGGCTGCGGAAGAAGGTGTTGATATAATATCAATGAGCTGGACAGTCGAAGAGACAACCCGCAACGAGTCCGACATCAAGAGAATGAAAGATGCTGTTGCTGAAGCATCGAAAAAGAATATTTTGATGTTCTGTGCTGCTAAGGACGGTGGGTGGGCACAAAACGCCAGTCTTGGATACCCGAAGAATTGTCCAACGCCCACGTTCTGTATTGGCGCGGCTACAGAACACGGAGAAATATCCGCCAGAGTGGGAAGCCAGAAGGGTAAAATTGATTTTGCTTTCCCTGGTGAGAACATGGAACCGCTGTCTGGAGTTTGCGGAACTATAATAGCGGGAAGCTCCATTGCTACCGCGTTGGCAGCTGGTTTGGCTGGGCTGTTGCTCTATATCGTAGAGTTTGAGCGGCCTGGTAGGACCAAGAATGAGGAAGAAATGAGAAAGCGTGGCAGGGCCTGGCGCAAACATTTACAAGATCATCAGAAGATGCAATGCATTCTCGAAGCAATGGGAACTAATCCTCAAAAGTACATTCCCGTGCTAAAGTATTTTAGCATCGATCAGAGAAACGAATGGGGAAGTAACGCTGCAGAATGCGCATTCTACGATCTTGTGGACAGGATACGAAGGTAAGAATACCCGAGACGTTCAAGTCTACAAGGAAAGACGTGTAGCCTCGCTGACCTGGTATCATTCAGAGAAATACAAAGCGAACCGCCCAAACAAAACTGAAGACTCTATTCCTTGCGGTGGAAGTGTCGTGGGCAGGAGGAGGCGGAGGAGAATAAGGACCATTCGGAGGTCGGTGCGTCAAGAGAGATACACATTCTCGGGACGAATAAAACCGCCCTATACATGTAATAAGTACATGTGTCATTTAAATCTTATTGAAGTGTACTATGTCATGTGAGAGATACTGCATGTAAGTACATTTACGTAGATTATCTGACGGCCGAATATGATATTTGAAGCCCTAAGACGTATAAAAGCTTCAAACAGATTTGTATGAGAAAAATCATAGAATGAACATGTTCCGGGTACCTCCAAGCCAGGCAAAGTTGAGACTTTTCTGGCAGGAGGGCTGCCAAATAGAATAGATAGGAATCAGGGAAAATACATATGGTCTCTGTGGGTTAGGGTTAGGAACTTGGTAGAGATAACGGGCTTCCCACTCTTCAACCCGCTTCTCATCACTCTCGTCTCCCCACTACTACCCCTCAGCCATCAAAATCATCATCGGAATACGAGTTAATGAGTAGAGAAAGTATTCATGCCAATCCAGCAGCAAATACACCGGCGAAAACAGCACCAAACACACTAGTGAGTCCGGGGGCCCATCACCGAATTAGCTTAGCTAAATTTATAGATATGAAAACGATTCAATCACAAGAAATTGATTGTATCAAGCAAACCATAGTTTTATAGGGACTAGAAAGGGAAATATATATGGCCAGGATGTGGAAATAGGCAAGTACCTTGCTCGAAAAGTAGTCCCCCCGTACTGGCCGCAAAGTATATACATAAGATCCAAGTACTGTGTGTTCATCTGGCGTATAATATCCCTGCTTGGAAAGATATCGAAGTGGCGTGAAAGATCAAAAGACGTCCGTTTTCATAGATCTGAATGGGTATTATATCGCACACGAGACATGAGAAAAGCGAGTCTAAGCGTAGCTCGACTACGTCCAGGCTTTAACTTCTCGAGAACTACATCTTGATGTAGATTAGTTCCACTGTAGGTACTGACTCGATAAGGATGGGGGGGGGGGCGCTGACAGGGGGATGGAAGAGTACCGCGCAGTTGACTGCACAGCCATGCAAGAGGTCAGTCCCGAAAAGGACCATCAGGGACCAGCAAGGTTTACAGCGCCCTATCGAATATACGGCGACGGGAATGATCTATGGAAAAACAGGGGGGGGTGAAATTGTATGGCGAAATATCTGTGCACCACCATATAACTGTTTTTCCATAGATCATTCCTATCGCTGTACATGGGCCCTCCCAGGTACCCGCACATCTTTTCAACCCCCAGCGCCTCCCCCACAGCACGGCAGACAGCACATGCGACGACAGCACGGCACAGCGGTCGAGGTGCGTCTTTGACGATCATGCGGGATTGTCCAGGGGTCAGGGACGGGAAGGTAGGCCATGGTTCTTGGGGGGGGGGGGGGGGGGGGGTGTAGAAGAGATGTAGATGGTGGGGGTGTATAAACCGATTACAAATGCGGAAGCTGAAACACGTGCACAGCCAAAGATGTCGAAACAGTTGCCGATGGCCTAAGTACATGACGTAGTAAGGTACAGCTGGTGCCTACATATAAGGATAACAGACCTTTAATTCTCCAATGCTATGATGCTAGTGGTCGACCTGTCGAGTGTCACTTCCCGAGAGGGCAGATATCAGTGAGTGGTAGACGGCAGGGATACACCAGGTGTGCTTTCCAAAATGCATTTCGATCCCTCTGGGAAGCGCCCCTATAGGTCTTTTGTGGGCCAGGTGTAAGATTTGTCTCTAGATGTCATCGTTTGTCCTGGTGCAGGGTTAGCTCTTCTACCAAACACAGTCTCGCGACCTCACTGCTACTATTCCCGCCGCATCCGGTGTTTGATTAGTAGATTGCGTGACCGTGACCGTGACACAGCCACAGCCACAGCCACAGCCACGGGCAGCCAGCCAGCCACCACGTCAGACAAGGGAACCGCACCGGCATTGAACACAAGGGAGCGTGTGAGGGAACGCATCCTTTCCTCAGTCCAGCGAAGAGCCCCATTCACGCATCCATCGGGTCTTCAAGGAGGAGAAGAAAAAGGATGCTATCTATCTGTCTCTCTATCTTCACCACCAAGAAGGAGAAGAAAAAGGATGTTGTTTCTCCATCTGTCTCTCTATCTTCACCAAGAAGAAGAAGAAAAAGGATGTTGTTTCTCCATCTGTCTATCTATCTGCATCCCCACCTGCTCTCCACCGCCAAACATGCGCAGGGACACCCCAGCAAATGACGTCCATGCAGGGAAAAGGAAGCCTGTCCTCCTCGCCCACCCCAGCCAATCACAGCCCGTCGCCTCGCCTCGCCTGGCACGCAACAAGCCTTTCTCGGGGGACACCACCCGAGTGCCAATCGATAAGCATGTTTCGACGGTCCACCAACCAATGCCACGCGCCCGCACAGCTGGCATTATACAGAGACAGTGTTGATCAGGCCTGTTGCTAAACCTGCCCTCGGTAGTCTGCTGTTGACAATTCTTCTTGAAAGTGTGACACTGGCTGTGAAGTGGAGATATCCCGTCGACCAGCCAGAGCACATTGGTTTGGAGGGAAAAAAAATATATAGGGAGATAGATATCCCGAGAACACTCTGGCGGACCCCCCCCGAAAATGCCCATCATCCACTGGCAATCCAGCCACACGCGGACTGGCCTCACTCGGTCTGCAGCTAGCTGCTCGTTGACAGCTCACATCAGGGAAGTCTCGCTCCCATTCACGCGGCCCTGTCAAATGTTCCTTGGCCGGGCCCCCACAGCCTACGGTAACAGCGACGGGGTATTTATAATTGCGGGGCGGACCAGCCATTGTGCAATGGGAGCGCTGGGTCTGATTGTGCTCTGCTCTCTCTCTCGGCGGGAACTCACCTCACACTCCCTCGCTCGCTCCCTCGCCCGGGTGTGCGCGCTCTTCTACATCATATATGGACGCGATGATCACGCCGGCTGTTGCGCTGCTGCTGCTGCTGCTGCTGTATGCACGCTGGTCGATCCACACGCAGAGTTGAAGACACAGTTTTCTCTCACTCCGCTGCTAGCTCTTGCGAGATTTCTCGCTCGTATCGAAACGGGCGAGAAGGCACAAGATCAGGACGGAGGTTTGTTGTGCTGTGGGTGGTGGTGGGTAGGTAGGGAGGATATCTCGCCGTGCGAAGAGAGAGAGAGAGAGCATTCTGCATTTGTCATGGGTGTGAAGCCATAGATAGCCATTTCTGGCGGCTGCGGGGGGAAGGGAAAGAATGTACGAAGAAAAAAAAAATGATCATTCTTTCTTGTTTTTTTTTACACACTCTTTTTTTTTTTCTCTCTAGCTGCTTGCTTGCTCCCTCCCTCCCTCCCACAAGCAATCCCAATCCACACGCGATGACCAACTGCCATTCTCGTGTCTGCCTGCCTGTATATAAACAGCCAAAATAAAGCAAAGCAAAAAAGAAAAATCTCTCCACATGCCCGAGTGCTCTAGACAAAGTAAACGTACTCTATTGGGCACAAACCTCCTCCCTCCCTCGCCCGGCCAACACAGCTGCAGCACTGCATCATACCTACGGGACAGGGGCTGACTTTAATTCCCGATCGGCTCTACTCTGTGCAGCCTCTACTGAAGCCATTCCCCCCCCCCGCAGCCAATCAGAGCCCGCCCCCCAGCATGCATATGCGCATGAGCATGAGCAGCTAGAGATATCGCGCTACCAAGCTCTTTTCTCCCCGAGCCCCCCATTCTATTTGAAAATATAACAGCCATGGCACCTCACCTCCCCGGCCCTTCTTCTCCTCCTCCTCCTCCTGCTCCTGCTTCTTTCTGTTGTTCTTCTTTCTCTCCTCCTGTTCCTGCTCCTTCTCTCTCCCCCTCCTCCTCCTCCTCCTCCGCCCCCTCTCCGCCCTATACCCACCCACCTAGCTAACCACCACACACAATGTCCTCCGCGTCCTCCTCCACCGAACGCATCCGCCCCGTGGCCCCGCAGGAGGGCTCTCCCACGCAGGCAATCTACACGTCCGGCATCATCGACGAGGGCTCGTGCCTGCTGCGGGACTACAGCCTGCCGACGATCCCGGAGAAGGAGGATGGCGGGGTGGTGTTTCTGCGGTACTCGCTGGGCCGGTGGCACACGGTGCGCATCGAGCGCGGGGACATGAACGACGACGACGACGACGAGGTTGTGGTGGACGAGGACGAGGACACGTTCCGCATCGTGCCGCTGCGGGAGCTGTACATCGGCGACACGATGGTCATCCGGGGCGTCAACTTCCCGCCGGGGGAGGCGGACGGGATCCGGGTTGTGTATGTATATGATACTATCTCTGGGCTTGAAATTTATATATAAGGAGGAGTTGTGTACGGACAGAGAGAGAGAGCAAACAGCTGAGATGGGTCAAACAGAAAGTTTACAGAGTGCTCCGTCAAGATCGTCCAGGTAAGATACTTAAGACATAGCTAGCTATAGAAACCCACTATATATATATATATATATATAAATATTGTGAAACACCCCCCCAAAAGAAACCTCAAGCTCACACCAATCTCCCCCCCCCCCCCCACCAGGACTTCCTCAAAGCCATCTCCGAGTTCATGCGCATCCCCGACAGCACGCTGATCCCCGCCCCCGGCTCCCAAGGCCCGCAGCCCCTCCTCGACTCGCCCAACCTCACAAAGTACGAAAGCTACGTCCCCGGCAAAGACTTTGTCACGGGCGTCTCCCTGCGCGCCTCCTTCCAGCCGCGCAAATACCTGACCCTCTTCGCCGCCTTCCCGTACCTCGGCCTGGGCACCGCCAATGGCACCGGCAGCCTGAGCCTGCGGCAGTACCGGTATCTCGGGACCGCCTCGCCAGATGTGGATATGGGAGACTCGCGGAAGCGCATTCTGGTGAACCAGGGGTGGTTCTTCATCTTTGACAACAGTAGCTCTCCCGTGCATGGTGGTGGTGGTGGTGGTGGTGGTGGTGGTAATGATAGTAGCAACACTCACTGACCAATGATCGCCAGGCAACATTGCAATGTTCACCTCCGCCGACGAGGACTCTGCGCCGCTGTTCCCGTACCAGCGCCGCCTCGGTGGCTTCCACCTCCTCGTGCACATGATCGCCAACATCCTCACCTCCTACGAGACCTCGCCGCTGCGCGAGTTCCGCAAGAAGGTCGCGCGACAAGTACGTCCCCGCATCTGAACCCCAAAACCCCCAAGCATACTAATCCCCCCACTCCCCACTCCCCAGGAAATGCAAATCCAAAGCCAGCTCGCAAAGGACCTCCTCACCCCCGACAAAAGCATCAAATCCACGCACGCCGAGCTCGAAGCCGAACAACGCATCACCGAGGACCTGATCGAGGCGTTCGAGGAATCCCTCGCCGACATCGCCATCATGAAGGCCGTCGTGCAGTCGCAGATCCAGATCCTCGAGGACCTGCGCGAAATCTTCCAGAACTCGTTTAAATTCGAGAAGGGCGTGGGCCGTCCACGGAACCATCGAAACGCCGTCAAGATCCCGTACATTATGGATGGGAAGGAGCAGATGCGCAAGGCGGTGGTGACGCTGGATGCGGTGATACGCGAGAGGAGGGAGTTTCGGGAGGAGTTGAGTGTGTGGTTGAAGGATTTGAGGAAGTCGAAGATCCTGGTATGGCTCCTGTTTCTGTGTGTGTGGCGGGGAGCGAAACTGACGGTGGCAGACTTCACATGATAGCCAAACCGTCACGGCAAAGGAGGCCTTGAAACAGGGCGAAATGATGCAGAAAGCAATCACGCAGCAAGGCCAGACCATCTCCGTCTTTACCCTCATCACCACCATCTTTGTTCCCCTCGGCTTCTTCACTGGCGTAAGACCCCCCCCCCCCCCCCCCCAAAAAGAACTGAAAAAAGGATTAGCTAACCCAACCCCGCGCAGTACTTTGGCATGAGTCTCTCCGGCTGGAAATCCTCCGTCGCCACCCCCGCCGATTTCTGGGCCATCTCTGGGCCCGTCACGCTCCTCATCATGCTGCTCATGTCCTACTTCCTCTACGGCCCCGACGACTGGATCAAAGAGGGGCTCGCGAGCAGTTTCCGCTGGACAACCCGTGTATGGCGTGGCTGGCGACAGCCAAAGGGGCACAAGGCAAAGTCGCCGGGTAGGCTGGAGTCGGCGCCGGGCCCGAGTCCAGGGTGGAATAGGCTGTCGTCGAATCGCTTCTCGTCGATGAGTGGGATGGGGCTGGAGAAAACTACGGGGCCGGAGGGGCCGTGATTAATTGGTTATTGAGCGTACGCATATAATTGGGGAGGAGTATTTTTTTTTTTTTGGCTCTTTTTCGCCATTTTTTTCACCATTTTTTTTTTTTTTTTTAGTTTCGTTTTTAGAGTTGACGACGCTCGTTCTATAAAATTTTCTTCTGCTTACTTTGGGAGAGAGCTGGTTTGTTGCCTTTTTTTTTTTTTTTTCCTTATGTTTTCGCATGTATTCGATGTAAACGTCACGACTAATGTTCAACGAGTGATAAACGGTGCCCGTGTGCATGGTGTGCTTTCATGACGGAAATGTCATTGACAACGCGTATGTAATGAATTATGAATGATGATGGGGCTGGGCTGGGCTGGGCTGGGCTGGGGGCTGACTAGGGTGGAAAGAACCCTACTCTAGCCCAGTTGTTGTTGGATGCAACGGCCTGGGAGGCAGGCAGTAGGTACTAGGTACATGTATTGTAGGGTCACAAAATTCACCGATCACTGGCACCCTCGTGAGACTAGTACTCATAGCAACCAAAACTGTCCTGCGAAGAAATCTCACATCGAGACCTTAAAGGTCAGAAAGATAAACCTATTCCTGGCAAGCTTCTAGCTCTATTTATGAGAGCAAAAATTCTCTCAATTGCCCTCCTAGTTGTTGAGTTATTCTCACCTGAAGTTGGTTAATTCGACTGGGAGCTCCTTCCTTCATGCTCCAACACACACACACACACACACACACACACACACATACACACATACATACTCGGGTACCGCCCTTTTCCAAATTTCTAGGTCAAAATTTGAGTTCTTGGCTCTGCGCTGCTACAAGCATTTACAAGTCGATCTTCCAGGATCTGCTGCGATTTCACACCAAAGAAGCAACGGAATCGCTTCTAGCGGCGCAGAGCCAAGAACTCAAAATTTGACCTAGAAATTTGGAAAAGTGCCGTTGCCAAAACGCTCTAATAAGAACCAGAACATTCAAGTGAAGAGACAGGGATTATTGCTATGGAGTGGCGCCGCTCTTCCATACAAATAACCTCATTGCATGTTCTGGTTCTAACCCTCGTACCCGAGTAGACTCGGTCGTGTAATTCTTCTAGAGTACATGATTGTAGGCACATACATACCGGCGGCCAGTCACATACGACGTTGAAATTACTCTCTCCGGCGATTTGGCTCGAATTGTCCGTCTACTCCCAGCCGAAAGAGAGAATTTAGACGTCTCCTGTAACAGGTCGTTCGTTCAAATTAACGTGATGTAAGGGGAATGTCGAACTGGGGGGAACGCCGGATCTCTTTTCAGCAAAGTCATTTTGCTGTCTAGTTGGTTTTCTACCCGTATGCGTGTATGAGATAGCTGGAATTCTCTTTATCATAATTAAAGACTCGGTTGTATACTTAAATACATGTAACTACTGGGGCTTTTCCGACACCGTCTCCTGTCGAGCTCTAAGGGTTAATATAGCTAAATTTACATATATGTACATATTATCGTAAGGCCTGAAACATTACTAGCAAGGAGCTGGGTCTCAGCCCATAGGAACAGAAAGTCGTTCAAAGAGGCTAGAAATGGGCCTAGATGCCCAGAATCGGACACGAGAATCCTGATACGATCCCCGGCAGCATCAAACTTGATGGTAGGCTTATGGTATATAAATGAAGTCAATTCGCCATATTGAGCTATTAACAATAAAGCAAATTCACCATAAAGAGACATTCCCAATAAGGTTATACAAACTCTATCGTCATGCCTACAAAACCACAAGATTGCACTATCTGCGCTGATATGAAGCTTGTTCTGCTGCAGACGCAGGAAGAGTTGACTGAGCGATTACAAGAAATCAAAACCTTGCACGAAGAGATCGAAAAACTGAAGGACACCGTTCCTTGGCGTAGGATACGTGCGCTTCATACTCAAGCTCGAGCGGACCGCCAGCATTTTAAAGAAGCCACTTTGACGGTCATTTCCACAATCTCTGAGGTCCTGGCCGACTACAATTTCTATCAAGAAGCGGAAGTTGTCTCTTTGCAGAGGGTTTTTGCGGTTGCTATCGGCGACAGCGCGTAAACAACTAGTTTGATCGATTAATGAACCTAATGGGCCTGATATACTTACATGTACTTTCTAATTAGAAGCTAGGTGTATGTACCTACCAGCTTATATAAATACAGGATCTACACTGTTTCGGTAGAATTCACTAGATGTTTTTTTCTTTTTTCGGTTCCTTATTTTTTTTTTCTTTTTCGTGTGGCTTTTTTATTTAGTATTCTTACTTGGTTTTTTCTGTTTCGTACTGTTTGTTGGCTTTGGGTTTTTTTTTGATTCGGCTTTGATTGTATTTGATTTATGACGCCGGTGAGGGCGCTATCCCGACGCTGCATACCCCACCACATGTAGTTTCGTTGCGGTTTTTTTGTTTTTATTTTTCTTCATTATGGGGTTTGTTTGCGGGTGTTTTATGTGGTTTTTAAATTTATATACATGACAGTGACATATTCACTCGATACATAAACAAATGAAACAGGCGTAGCCGTGAATGATTCTAAACCTCGACAGACAAATGAAACAGGCATAGCCGTGAATGATTCTAAACCTCGACAGACAAATGAAACAGGTGTAATGTTCGTTATCATTTTGCACCCCCCCCCCCCCCCGGGCAACCTAAGAAGGATTATCACAGGACCTTCATGTTCTCTAACCACTTAAGAAAAGAAGGGTTGTAACTGGTCTGCTTCGCCTTCAGTACTTTCAGATATGCCTCTGCGCCCAAGTTCCTCACGGCTTTCTTATCGATCCAGTGCAAAAGTTTACTCCCGCACGTCAACTGTGATATGTAGGTACGGATGATTTGGTACAGGGCAACGAAAAGACCTTCAATCATTGTTTTCATGGCTCCAAATTTCCATGCCTGGGGATTTGTGCGCTTCAGTGACGTGACTGTTTCGTGCAGTTTGCGCGCGGACAAGGTGAAAATGTCGTAAATATTTTTTATTATTATTGAAGCTGAATTGAGAGTAGGGTCAAAAAATATAGGACGAGAATTAGCTTTTAGGAACCTAATAAAAGAAGTTAACTATTGGTTGGCGATGGATTTGTTGGTGGGATGCTTACGTTACTAAGTTTTTCGAGAGAGTTTTGAAGGGGGTGCGACTGTATTCGACGGTGGGCGCGTGGTCTTTGATCCTTGACATATCAATGGGGACCCCAAGGTTGTGGGTGTGGATGCTGATTCCACAAAATGGGAACCAGTTTGTGGAAATAGTCCTCACCCCGGTGATACCCGTTTTGAAATTCGTCAACGTCTTATGTGGGCTCACAACAGCCCCATATTCCAGATGACCCCCAACCATTGTGTTTGGGAACCTCTGGGCCTCATCCTTCTGGGTCATGATTAACAGGAAGTCATCAACAAGCCTCACGAGGGTGTTATATTTGTTAACAAATCCCAATACTTCACGCTCGAACTGGGCGAGAAAGACATTGCATAAGAGGGTAGAAATTGTCGAGCCCTGAGGTATTCCTTCCTTCTGGCGAAAGAACTCCCTGTCTAACTTGACTAAATTGTTGCTGACGCCGTTTCCCAGTCGAAATGGTGAGGCTCTGATGCGTTTGGGTTTTCCATGATAATTCGGGCAATAAAGATGTTAGATTGATGGAATGAACGAATATCAAATGATTGTTGTTCCTCCAAGTTGAAGGGTGATACCCCAACTTATAGAACCTCCTGCTATCATGTAGAGGTATAACGTAGGGCCCTACCGAGTCTCGTACTTAGACTTATTTGCTGAAAATCACTACAAGACTATGTTTTACTATCCCACTATCTCACTATCATGCGACGTTAAACGTCAGGCCCCGCCAATCAAAAAAATGGCTGTCTAAACCAGGTTAATGACTAGGTTAATGGCCCAGGTCCAGAAAACAGTAATAAAAGTGCCAGGAATTATGCAGGTAGAGCACTAACCGCCACCGACCAATACTCGATAATATTGTTACTGAATAACTTGGTTTGTGTATGAAATCATTTCAGTTCTGATTCTAGGTACAGAATGGTCGCATAAAGTATAAACTATAGCGTATACTGAATAACTTGGGAGTGCTGCTACCATATACAATATCTTGTTCTTTGTACTATTTTACCTACGACATACTCTTCATACCGTATATATCCTACAGGTCGAATTCATTCTATCTATATATCTCGTTTCTTGTTATTATGTACCGCCGCCGGCGGGATAGACATAACTGATTCCTTCAAACGTACTTTAACGTCAGAATGGGTAAAAAAATAAAGCTTGCGGAAGGCTCAGGAGACGCTTATATAAGCCTAAGATAAGGCTTTTATTTGATATAATTCTTTTTTGTAAATAAGCCTACTGCAAGTAACTATAGGTGAAAAGCCTTATTTCGAAATAAGACCTTTTCCATATTTTAAGACTTATGCATTTTTTAAGGCTAATATAAAACTTTTTTCCAGATAAGATTATGTCCTTGGTGGTTCAAAAAAGTAAAAGAGAGGATTTGAACCTAGAGCTGTGTAGGTAGAATGTACCTCATGCTACCCACTAAACTATGGGAGAACTGAAATTTCTTTGCTAGAGGTAATATATAGGCAGGATAGCCGATGAAATGCTAGTAAAATCGGAAATTACAAATCTTATATAAACCTTATTTGCCGAAAAAGTCTTATTTGATAAAAGATTTATCTGGTATAAAGGCTTAAATTATTTCACAACACTTAAACTAAATTAATGTGTATAGAGACCTAAAGATGTATATAATCCTTTTTTTCGGCAAATGATTACAAAATTTTAGGCCTTATATGGAGAAAAGCTCAAACATGCCTTATTTTGGCGATAAGCCTACTGCAAGCCTTATTATTTTACCCATTTCAACGGTAATGTATCTATTGCTCTGTATTACATACATGTACTTACTCTATATAGAGTGGGTGAAAATTTATCTCGTGGTGGCAAGTGAAGGTATTGGCTAATAAATCCAGCCCGACCAGTCGAAATAGAGAGATTGGGTTTTGGCGAGGTCATATGATGTCACTCGTATTCTAGGTGTTCGTAATTCGCCCATTTGAGACCTGTACACCTGGTATCTCGGACGCTAGCTCTCTTGGGGTAGAAGCAGAGAATTCCAGAGGTACATGAACTCGTATTTCCTGACGATTGTGGACTGGACTGCACAATACAAAAAACGCCAAGTCCATGGTATGCGATAGCGGTTCTTTTTAGAAAGATCAGGAAAATATGTTCAAGTCAAAAAGATCTGATATTTGAGTACTACATGTATGTACTCGTAAGTTCATAGCGTTTCCGAATACGACCAATATTGCATGACATACCAAAAGGTAGATTTAGCGCAGTCGTGTTCGGAAACGTCATGAATTTACGAGTAGTGAAATAATGCCAGACATACATGCATTAGCAGCCACAAGGGGAGGATAGTTCAGATGATCAGATACTGAATCGAAAAAAGATCTAGAGTGGGAGAGTGGAACGACGCCAAATAGATTTATGACCGGTTTAAGAACCCCCTCCCTCTGTCCTGGGAGAACAGATAGTGTAGTTTCTTGTGTGTGGTACTCATGTAGGTACTCTACTAGCGATGCCGATTTTAATATAGGTCATGTGACTCCCGTCTTGGTGTGAAGCCTTAGAGTAATGGGTCACATGATCTATATTAAAATCGGCATCGCTACTAGAAAAACATATCTAAGTCCACTTCCCAGGACCCTGAAAATCATCATGCTCTGGTTCCTAGATGGAACTACCAAAGTTAGGTCCCGGCCTTCTACTTGCACGTCAGCCTCGGCCTCCTCTCTAAAGCTCCGGCTTGTAGAACATTTATTTGGGTGGTAGGATATTAAGTCTCATGGTGGTTTTGCCCGAGATTCTGGGATCTTATGCCTCAAGTGGGTAAGTCATGAACACTTTTGAGAAGTGGCTGTAGACCACCGTGGGGGGCCCAGGGGTACTCATGACAGATGGGTATTTCGTTGCTGAGACCTACTAGAGTATCCGAGTACTGAGCCTGCAGGCAGCTGGGCTTCACATTTATGAAAATTCGAAAATCGGTTCCTCAAAGGGCTTATATCACTAAGTAGCCATTGTGACCTCTCAAATTGCGAACCCAGCTGTAGATATTATTTGTTTATTCTAACCAACCCTTGAAACATAAGTCAACCGAAGGGTTTTAGTTAGTCGGTACATGTAATTAATAATATCTATAGCCGCTATAGAGCTAGCACAATACTTGTACGTACATTTTATAGCTATAGAGCTAGCACAATACTTGTACGTACATTTTATAGCTATAGAGCTAGCACAATACTTGTACGTACATTTTATAGCTATACATGTTAGCACGGTGGAAGGGCTGTTTCTACATGTTGCCTTAATGCATGTAAGTGGTCAGCGGAACTCCAGCCACCTAGGCCTGGCGCTGGATTAGGGTTGCCAAGTTTAACTCTAACCAGGGCATGTATGTAGCACGGAAGATCCTTCCGACCGGCGGCCGAAAAGCTTTCTTTCTTCCTCTCCATCTTCACATTACCAGCTAGGCTATCAGCATAAGTCTATCGATCTATCAAAGCAAGATGGCTAATAGTCCGTGTGCTTACGGTGCAGGGTTAGGTCAATGCGGTAAGCCATCTTTCAAAGTGCTCTATTCAATGCGCAGGCGCTGGACCGCAACATAAGTGGAATCGTACTCTAGCAATAGCTAGCACTGCAGATTATCTAGAGTAGTGTGCATCCGATAACATTATATGAGGCCTAAGTACTTGCTTACCAGCAAAAGAACCAGAAAATGCAAGTGACGGAAACAGGGATTATTTGTATGAGAGAACGGGGCCACTCCATACAAATTATCCCTGCCCTGAACAACCGCATTTTCTGGTTCTTTTGCTGGTAAGCAAGTACATACATAAGCGGCCCTCATCGCCTTCTGTGCAGTACTCGGGGCAGGCAATAAGAACCCGAAAATGCAAGCTGCAAGCAGGGGCTCAATTTGGTGTAGCTTTTCGCCAGCCGCGAATCAGAGGTCGTTACCATAAAAAGTCATTTTCAGGTTCTTCATGCCTGCCCCGAGTGGGTACGGCCTCGATTAGTGGGGTGATTGATTGGTTGGCTGACTGGTGAAAAGGAGAAACCGCCCTAAGAATGTACCACATACCTACGCCAAAAGTACCTACATATCCGTGGCTGCCCCGCCTAGCTCTCCAAAAACCGAAACCCTAATTAAGAGGTGTTCCTTCAGCCCGCCAAATCCCCACATGTCGCTCCGGAAGTCCACTTTGTTCGTTAGGGTCTACTCGGGGTAGGCAAGAAGAACCTGAAAATGACTTTTGATGGTAACGACCACTGATTCGCGGCTGGCGAAAAGCTACACCAAATTGAGCCCCTGCTTGCAGCTTGCATTTTCAGGTTCTTATTGCCTGCCCCGAGTATATAACCCCTTCCCAGGATCATCACCCCAGATCTCAATAGTCTAGCTACCTAGGCGTGGGCACTCAGTTGGTTGCGAGTTCAATCCGTATATATCATATGCACTAGCTTAGTCCTTGACATGACTTAAGCTTCGGGAATGGCCAAATCGCTTTATTGCAGATCAAATATTAGTACCTCAGCAATCGTTGCCGAGTGATGTAGCCTGTGAACTAGCCTTAAGGGTAGGCATGATCCCGAGGAATACTTGTAATATCTGGTTACATACATGCAAGGAGTTTATGACCAAATACCCCAAATTCATGAAAGAGCAAGATAAAGTCTCCAGGAAAGGAATCATCCCTTGTAAGAGTGTAGATAACTCTTTTTTTTTTTTTTTTTTTTTTAGTTTTGTGGAGAATTGGGGTCATTACCCCTAGGGGCGTCTACTGCGTCTCGCCGCTTTTGAGGATAATTGTTAATCGTCATCGCGCACCAATCACAGTTGATCACTCGACAGTGTCATCTCCTCTTGGGAAATATTAGGCAAGAAAAGTGAAACAATCTGTCCACATGAACAGACATGTAAGCGACCATTGGATCGAACCGATCTACGCGCG